TTGGGCGAATTTACATTTTTATTATTATGTAAAAGTATCCCGATGAAAGCTGTAACATCCCGAATTTTCTACTAATATAATAGTTATTATTATTACTTTTATATTTATGGAGATTATTTTCTTATAATTATTTTAATTAAGTAAATGAGTTTTATTAAATATTTTGAATTTTAGTACTCCAGAACGGGCTGTTCCCGAACTGGAACGGACCGTTCCAAACTACTAAAATGGCCTATAACCCTAGTTGGGAAAGGGTCGTTCTAGTTTAAGAACGGGACGATCCAAACATGAGCGTTATGAGTCAAACTCAACCCCAGAACGGGCCATTCTGGTTTAAGAACGAGTTGTTCCAGATACGAATTTTACACATGACGAATGAGTCTAGAACGGGCTGTTCTAGATCCGAAACGGGTCGTTCTGGCCACTCCTATGTCTATAAATAACACACTCTGACACTCCCAAAAGGACATTTTTTCACTTTTGACTTTTTTCTTCTACACTCTCTAAAGACCAAGGGGAACCTAGAAGAGTAGACCAACTAGATCCTGTTTTAGTTTCAGCTACTGCTTATCGAGAGTGATGGCAGGAGGGAGGAATGATTGTGCAATCGCTAATGCTTTGCAAGCGATGGCTCAAGCTCTTAGGCGTTTAGGGGCAAGCTTATAAAGCTTGATGGTCCAACATTGAAGGAAGTAGTTGGGCTGAGCAGAGATGGGAGTACTAAGCCCCAACCCTTCAACTTTGGAGATTTTGAGGAGCTGACAACATTTAGAGATTGTCAAAGGAACCAGGAGACCACTAATTACACAAAATTTCTGGCTGGAGGTATGAAGAAAAATTCAAGATTAATTTCTTTTATCATAGCTTGGATGATTAAACCTAGATTACATAATCATGCTCAAATGTCTAGGGATGACATTTTGCTGATGCATGTTATTAAGAAAAAAGATTGAGATAGATTGGGTGTCTATGGTGATGATTGTATGTGGAAGGCTAGGAGGAAGGAGGATGGTCCAATACCATATGCTTTGTTATTATCTAGGATTTTTGAGAAAGTCGGTGTGGATCTGAGAGGGGAGAAAAAGATAATTCTCCATGCCTCGAATAAAATTAAAAAATCTTCTTTGCATCATATGGGGATGCTGAAACAAGAAGACAAATGGGTATTCAAAGGAGATGTCCCTCCAACGCCTGAACCTGCAACTGATGAAGATGGTATTCCATCTCATGATGAAGACCAGCCACCACAAGTGGAAATTGAACCTGAATGGGAACAAGAACTGGAGCCTAAAGCATTTTCTCCGTTTGAGCAAATTATGATTAACAAGCTTGATGCGGTAATGGAGATGTCTAGGAAGCACGAGTCGTATTATTCAGGCATTCTTGGTCGGTTTGATAACCTTGATCATGAGATTAACCGAATTAAGGCTCAGCTTGGGATGTAGGAGGACTCAGAGTGATTCTAGGAGCTTTAGTGTTCTGTTCTGTTTTTAAAAATTGTTTAAATTTATGTTTTTAATTTCAATTGGGTTGTAACCGATTTAATTCCTGGACAATTATCTTGGTTTATCTTGTGTTGAACAATTTAAATTCTGATGCAATATAAATGTCTTTGTGATTATATTGTGTTTTGGGTGATTTGGTTGCAATATTCTGGTGTGTATGTTGATATGAGCAAATAGCAATGCATATTTGTGATGTTTGCTGTTATGTTTGCTATGATGCTTAACTAATGTATCATGTGGTTGAGATATTGTGATTGAAAGACAACTTGATGAATATGAAAAATTCCCTGATACAAGTTCTTATGTTACTTTGGATTAATTGGAACAATGCTTATAGTTGGTTTTGTGGCATTAATTTTGACCAAATGATTCTTTTGCATAATTCAACGGGCCGGTGGCGACACATGTGCAATCTGGACATATGAATATATCTGGTTGTTTTTGATGATGTCCAAAGGGGGAGAAAGGTTTTTGAGTTTGTTTTGCAGGGCCTAAAATGTGAAAATACTGGTTGGCAAAACAAAATGGCTTGTATGGTTTGTCATCATCAAAAAAGGGGAGATTGTTGAGATTCATGGAGTGGTTAATCCTTTATAGGCTTCGTATGATACTGCAGTGTCTCATTCTGGTGGTAGTCCTCTTTCGTCCGTGAGCAGACTTCGTTTTTATGCTTGATTACCCATCATCTGATTCTTTCATCTACTTTGTACAATCTTCATGGATTGTGGCATTTAATGCTTTTGATTTTGCATTTAATGTTTGCTTGCTAAATCTGCACTTCTCTGTAGACACTCAATTTTGTCTGGGGGCACACAAACAACAAGATAGGACATTAGAGGGCCCAAAAGCCCAAATCAATTGCTTTTCGTGGCCCGAAACGGGCCATTCTAAAATCAGAACGGGCCGTTCCCAAGTTCGGAACGGGCCATTCTTAAATTGGAACGGGCCGTTCCGAGACTCCTAAAATGCCTAAAAATTGTAGGTTGGAACGGGCCGTTCTAGACCAGAACGGGCCATTCCAAACCAATCAAAGGGGCTAAAATATTTGGTTTGGAACGGGCCGTTCCTAAATCAGAATGGGTCGTTCTGGTTTCTGGAACGGGCAATTATGATTTCAGAACGGGTCGTTCTGGGGTGCAACCTTAAAACATAACGTTCATATCCGGAACGGGCCGTTCTGAATCCAGAACGGGCCGTTTCGGCCCACATTTGATGCCTATAAATAGAGATCTCGTGGGGCGGCCAGAGAAATTTCGAATAAGACTCCTTTGAGCACGAAAATTCTCTATCTCTCTCCCTTTTATTATATTTCTTGAGATTTGTGTCGCATCTCTATATTTTCTCTCTCCTATTGTATTTCTTGAGTATTGTGAGGCAATTGTAGTGCGAAAGGTTGCCACAAAGCACCTAAAATCTCCCTATTTTGAAGATCCAATAGAGCTCATTCAAGAGGTATTTCAGTTAATTTCTTTTTCTCTTTAATTATTTATTATAAATTTAAAAGTTTAAGTAATAATTTATATATTTTAAAATGAGAAGGGTTATAATAACATTGGTATAACTTTTATACTAAGTATTACACCATTCAATAAATTTATATTAAATGTGAATTTTGTAAATCCAACTGATAGATTGAAAGTTCATATCACTTTATATGTTTATATCAATTTTTGTTAAAATTAATCAATAACTTAAAAGTAATCAAAGTGCTCATATTTTATTTGAAATGAATATATTACGTCAATTTTGTTTTACTAGAATAAAGTATCAAATCATCTTGAATTCATATAAGATTCTGTATATATGATCTAAAATTAGCAACCGAATAGAATTACATCACTAATTGTAACTAATATTTAGCGATTGAATTTAATTCTGTCACTAAAAAAATAAAATCTCTGATTTAGAGACCGAATTCAATTCCGTCACTAATTTTAACTAATATTTAGCGACCGAATTTAATTTCATTGCTAAAAAAATCAAAATTTTTGGTTTAGCGACCGAATTAAATTCTGTCGCTAAATTTAACTACTATTTAGCGATCGAATTCAATTTTGTCGCTAATTTTAACTAATATTTAGCGACCGAATTCAATTTCGTCGCTAAAAAATCAATTTCTAATTTAGCGATCAAAATAGCGACCGAATTCAATTCCATCGCTAATTTTAACTATTATTTAGCGACCGAATTAAATTTTGTCGCTAAAAAAATCAAAATTTATAATTTAACGACTGAAATAACGACTGAATTCAATTCCGTCGCCAATTTTAACTAATACTTAGCGACCAAATTCAATTACGTAGCTAATTTTAACTAATACTTAGAGACCGAATTCAATTCCGTCGCTAAATTTAACTACTATTTAGCGACCGAATTCAATTCCATCGCTAAATTTAACTACTATTTAGTGACCGAATTCAATTTCATCGCTAAATTTAACTACTATTTAGCGACCGAATTATATTCCGTCACTAAAAAAAATCAAAATTTATAATTTAGCGACTAAAATAGCGACCGAATTCAATTCCATTGCTAAATTTAACTACTATTTAGCGACCGAATTCAATTTCGTCGCTAATTTTAACTATTATTTAACAACCGAATTAAATTCCTTCGCTAAAAAAAATCAAAATTTATAAGTTAGCGACCGAATTCAATTTTGTTGCTAAATTTAACTATTAATTAGCGATCGATTTCAATTCTGTCGCTAATTTTAACTAATATTTAGCTACCAAATTAAATTCCATCGCTAAAAAGTTCAAAATTTATAATTTAGCGACCGAAATAGAGACCGAATTTAATTCTGTCACTAAAAAAATCAAAAATTTATAATTTAGCGACCGAATTAAATTCCGTCGCTAAATTTAACTACTATTTAGCGGTAGGTTGGAACGGGCCGTTCTAGACCAGAACGGGCCATTCCAAACCAATCAAAGGGGCTAAAATATTTGGTTTGGAACGGGCCGTTCCTAAATCAGAATGGGTCGTTCTGGTTTCAATTCACCCCCCTCTTGGATTGAACCATTCTTTTCTAACAAGGAGGACAACAACAACATACATATGGGAGCATTAAAGAAGAAGAAGAAAACCTTGCCACCTATGCATCTACGTAGCATCCACGTGGTCCACATTTAACACCATTTGTAGAATTTGGACGGAAGTCCCATATTGATGTGTTTTCAAATTATTAGGAACTAAATTGAAACAAAAAATAATATGAGACCAAATTAAAATTTTTAATTATTATGAGGGACTAAATTAAGTATTTAGTAAAAGTTTTACTAAAAATTACATATAGATCACATAATATGAATATTTTAATAGAGTTTGACGCTTAGTTAAGAATAGTGTAACATTTTTTTTAATTTTTAAATCGTATATCTAAAAGATGAAGGTGTCGAGTGTAATTTAAAATAAAAAAAAAATGATGTGTGTGTGTGATTTTCTTAAAAATAAATAAATAAAGGGTCACTGCTAATTATTCGACTCTATTTTATTGTATAGTATTTACGACTGTCTCTGGGACTGAATTGAACAACAAAGCGATGTGGTTGAAAACATTAGCAACCTCTCCTCTTTCGGGGATCACTGTTTTAGTCCTTTTCCTCGCTCTACTTCTCAGATTTTACGTCAAATTCGACACTGCTGAGGTCACTGCAACTAACCCGCAAAAACATTAATTCTGGATTTTGAGTTTTTGTGGCGCTTTTTCAATTGGGTCACGAAAGATCCTTTTTTTTATTTTTTTATTTATCTAAATCAATAGAAATATCTCACACCTAGTCACGTATAGATTATGAAGTCAATGATTTTGACTCCGCGTTTTGTTTTGTAGAGATTGTTCGGAGCTAAGGAGCTTGCATTGTTCAATGGAACCGATGAAGGGTTGCCAATCCTTCTAGGAATTCTTGGGTATTCCCTCTCTCAACTCACTGAATGCCATATTTCCAATCTTGATGTTACTTTGGATTGTTAGGTCTAACATATCAAAACTTTTTATTATCTATGACAGATCTGTGTTTGATGTAACCAAGGGAAAATCTCATTATGGTTCAGGAGGGGGCTACAATCATTTTGCTGGAAGGTTTGTGCTCAATCACTTTTCTCATCCAAACATGTTTTTTTGTTGTGCTTGGAATCATGGGAAGTATTTACATTTCAACTCTCATTGACAGCAATTTTTGTTCCTCTTTTTGGGCATGAATTCAGGGATGCTTCTCGTGCATTTGTCTCTGGAAATTTCACAGGTAAAAGAGTTGTGTGGTTTGTTCAGGTTGGTGTGTTTTTAATAAGAGTGAATAATCCAGATATGGGGACACTGGATCAACTATAAACAGTGATAACTGAATTATCACTATTGAGAATTGAGAGAATTTGGAATGTTGTATATGTGGGGTGATAGTATTATTCCAAAATAACTTGGGGATTTCTAATATTCACTTTGTTTTATTTGGTTTGGTTTTGGAAAGCCTGCTCAATTATATGTATTTCATGGTTTTGCAATTTTATTGGTTCCAAATTTATATGATGTTGCAGAAAAAATTGATTGAATATCTCTAATGTTTTCAATGCTTTAAATTGCAGTTGAAATAGTTTGATATTAGAATAACTAAATGGATTAAATATATGTTCTTGAAGAATATGGCCTAACTTGAATTTTGTCAGATTTTTCAGTTTCTGATTTGATTGTGGACTTCCTCCTCTTCATCATTCTAGGAAACTTGCCAAATGATCATCCTTTAGTTATGTTTGTATCGTATCTTGAATTTATATTTCACCAACCTTAAAGTTCATCTATCTACTTCTATTCACCATTGAAAGGTCTACTACTTTTGTTTTTGATAGTAAAGAGAAGATATATTGATGACTAACAAGATCTTTAGGTAGAAAAGTACATGGAATGCTTTAAAATTTGAAGGGGAGAAAATAGAAGAGAAAAGGTTAGCCAAAAATAAAATTAGGTCAACAATAGCTTGTAATTTCTTCTAAAAGTTAAAGTTGAAAGGCCCAGCACAGACCTTGTGTTGAACTGATAGCATTGCATTGAAGAGTCTTATATAACGGTAGTAACAAATAATTGTCTGTAACTCTGTATTGCTGCTTGTAGAAACGAATTTTCCTTTCTACATTATAGTAAATCATTCTAGCATGTCTTTTAACTCTATACATTTCATTTTTTCTCATGTAGGAGATGGTCTCACCGACTCACTGCGTGGTCTATCTAGCACTGAGGTTGTAATTAATGTTATTTGTTTAGTTATTAATAATTTTGTTTTTTTTAAATATTTCATTAGAATCCTAATCATACAAATTGATTTGCACTTTTTGTCTCCTTGAATTTATAGCTTCCACTTCTTCTTCTTCGTCTTTTTTTATTTTTTGGAGAATTAATGATACCTGTGTTTGTCTAAAATATGGATTTAACATTTTTGTTTTCAAGCCTAAACCTTACCCTCAAATTAATTGGTGCATGCAGGTGAAGAGTATTGTTGAATGGAGAGATTTCTACCATAAAACTTATAAGTGAGCCATACTTCTGATATTTGTTACTTTGTTGTAGCTAACTTTTAACTAGCTGATTAAATTCATGAATGTTTTGGAATGCATCCATTGGACACCTATATTTTGTTGAATTGATGTTTTAATTGCTTTATTTAGAAGGATAGGTCAAGAACCACTAACCAGTGTATGTCTTGAATCTATTTTTGCACTGTTCTATTGCTGTTTCTTATGGAATTAGTTGTTCAGAACATACAGAGTGTTGGGTGTGTTGTAGATCTTGGGACTAGTTTTTGATGATCAGGTATGCGAGTCTGTGGAACAACAGACTGCAAAATTTTGTGACTGTGCTGTCTGTGCTATATTTTGGTGCATATTATTGGAGCTTGATTCTCGTATCATTAGGTAGAGCTCAATGAGTGAGCACCTTATTTGAGGTAGATTAAGCATACTTGGGTGTAAAGCTTATGGTCTCTGCTCATGGTCATTTTAGCAGGGTTGCTCTTATAGATGTTCAAGCACTAGGGAGCTTTGCTACTTTGATTATTTTTTTTTCTCCATCAATAGTAATATCCTGTTTCAATCATTAAAGTATCTAAAAAATTATAATAAAATAAAACAATGCAGATTTATAAAAGATTTTTTTAATATAAAGTGATTAAGTTATATTTAACTTAAATAGCATTAAAAGGTATAAGTTTTATATTGTCTCAAAAATGTTATTGTTTATTTGATTTTATAATATTATATTATTTATTCACATGCAGCAAATATGTCAGTTCCCTATACATTTAAGTTATACGTAATATATTTTTCTTTTATATATGAAGCTAATTATTGTTCTAACGGTCCTGCTTGGTGTCAAAGAATGGGGTAATGGGTTTAAATCGTACATAAGGCACACTTCTTTCAATTTTCAAACCCCATTTTTCAAGGGCAATGTCAACATGTCAGTGCCACAACAAAATTCTTGTTTCAATAAATCCATCTCACCTAATAATGTTGGAAATTTGACTGTAAATAAAGTGTTGAACTAAATTTCATTAGTTTTAAAATTAAAAAGTACGAGGAGTTGATTTGAGTAATTAAAATTAGAGATCTAAAATCACCCATTTAATAAACTATACGGAACAAAAACAAAATTAAATCTTTTGATCCTCAATTAGAATCAATATTTTTAATATATAATTTTAAAATTTCCCCTTAAGCATGTGTACACAGTAATTAATTTTGATGCTTTTATCTATACTAGTATGGAAAAGAGACACTTTGTGTCTCTTAGTTTTTTAAAAATAAAAATAAAATAAAAAAGAGATAATTGAATGGGTGATTGTGAGTAGTTATTGATAGAGTAAGAGAGGTTGTTTCTTTGTTCTTTCTTAGTAATGGAGGAGAGTAATGGTCTAATAAAAAAGTGGAGACCATAAACGGTTATGCACCATATATTCCATTTATAATAGATATAGATAGTTTAAAACTTTCTCCTCAAATATTATTGACAATGATGGTACATTTTTCTTTACCTACTTTTACATGTCCAGTATTTGTTTTTTAATTTTTCATTGATGGCCTGCTACAGCTTTCATTAATAAATTTTCACTTGCCATATCATTGCCTTAGGTTTAGGAAACTATTTTAATGCGTATCAGATATTTTTATCCTTATTTTTATAGGTATGCTGGGAAGCTAGTTGGTCGATACTATGATAGCCAAGGGAATCCTACAAAATATTTGAAAGGGGTTGAAGCAAAGGCTGCCAGAGGTGCACAGCTTCTAGAAAAGCAGAAGATTGAAGAGGCCAAACAACCTTCATGCAATTCAAGATGGAGTCAAGATGAGGGTGGTGAGGTATGGATTGTTGTCATGTCATCATCTGTAATCAATTTTTCTTCATTTTATGTATGGATTTTATATCTCCGAATAACAATGAGAACAAATTATACTTTTAATCTCTCTATAATATATAATCTGCAATTTTAATCCACTTAATGAATATTTATCCATTAATTGTTGAAATTGTAATGTTTGGTCATAGCAACTTAAAATATAGTGGAAAATATTTATCCATTAATTGTTGAAATTGTAATGTTTGGTCATAGCAACTTAAAATATAGTGGAAAACAAATGAAATGCGCCAGTAAACTACATAGAATTGAGAAATTGGGTGAGCTTTGATTGTATTAGGATGAACTTAGTGTGCTATTAATTAAAAATGTAATATATCACATGCTAAATTGGTAATAATAAGATTAAGAAAGCACTTGGCCAAAGTTTAGTTTGATGAAATTTATTGTACATTAAAGTTAAGAATGTCCTGTTTTCCTGCACTTATTTTCCTATGAAAACAGCAATTACAAGGTTTGTGATAGAACCCAATTCAAAGTAGCAAATATAGTTAATGATTATGTCATTTGAATTATGTTATTTGAATTTATTTTCGCAGCCTATCTTTAGTTAGGATTTATCATTTGAATTTGGTTATCATAGCTTATGTTTAAGATTTAGTTTAGGGTTATGTTTTATGAAATTTGTTATCATAGCTTATCTTTAGGATGTATCTTCTTTCATCAATTTTAGGGAGTTAGTTAAGGGAGATGATAATAAATGCAGAGTAGCTTGAGAGAGGGGAAGGATTGGAGAAATTTTAATGAATTGTAATTGGAGCCGGTGCTCTGGGAGAGGGAAGCAGTAGATTTACCTGTCAATCTCTATTTTTTATTTGAAATAATAATCCTGTCCATTTTTTTGGTTTCCATCATTGGTCCGACCTATTGGATAGCTCAACATGGTCTCTAAGGTTGATGCATTGGAATCCAAAGTCACAACTTTGAATGCCCAATTTTAGGAATTGCAGTCCTTGGCTGCTGATCTGCAGCAATCTGTAATCAAGGAAGCATATGTGAATGCAACTGAACGACGCGAAAATACTGAGTTTCGATCCATGATCACTCGGTGGTTAAAACGGAATGACAATAATTAATCCCACAAGGCTAATATGCCTCCTCCCCCCTTTGTCGTCTATGATGGCCATCAACTTGCAACAAGGAAGGTTGAATTGCCTTCCTTTGCTGGTATGAATCCATGCAGTTGAATTGTTCGAGCAAAAATTATTTCCATGTGGTATCCCACCAGAAACAAAAATTCCTCTTGCCCAATTGCCAATGGAAGGGCATGTCATCCATTGGTTTTCCTTGCTATGTGAGGGTGATCCAGGGCTCTTGTGAGAGAAGTTAAAGGAGGCATTGCTCAACCGCTTCAGAGACATAATTACCCAAAATCCATATGAACAACTAGTCGCACTTACACGAGCATTTTGTGGCAGAATTTATTGAAGAGTTTGAGCTTTTGTCCTCCCAAGTCCCTTGGCTAGCTGTACCACAAGCCATTGGATATTTTATGCATGATTTAAAGCCTAAAATTAGACATTGGGCACGTCTTCACCAACCAGAAGCAATTAATAGGACTATCTCTCTAGCTCGAGAAGTGGAATGTGCTCTATATGGGGAGGTAGATAACAAGGTGAAAGGCTTTGGTCTAAAACTAATTGTCATTGTTGAACTGAATTACCATAAGTTCGAGATGTCATTTTCTTCCTTTTCTCATCCTACCTTTCATCATAGTAATAAATCTCAAAATTCGAAACTCGAATCCAAGTCACATGACTCGGGGTTAGAGGTTGACAATAACAGACACTTGGGAGATGTGAGGAGTAGGGGAACTTGCTACCTATCTTCTTAAGATTGTTCGACAGGAGGAAGAAGGGGTTGTGTTATTGTTGCGGTCAAAGATATTATCCTATGCATCAATGCCCAAACAAGTAGGTCAAACTCACCTTGCTTACTAAAGACGTAGTTATCTATGGAGAAGGCGAGATTGAGTTGGTAAATAGCAACATGGAGGACGAACAAGAGAATGCGAATACATCAATACACTACTAGAGGAGGCCCATAGATGATATCAGCCTTGAGGACAAGGCTGATAGCATAGGAGAGGACAATGATAGAACCTAATTCAAAGTAGCAATATAGTTTATGATTATGTTATTTGAGTTTTTTTTCACAGCTTATCTCTAGTTAGGATTTATCATAAACTATATTTGCTACTTTAAATTGGGTTATATCAGATTGTATGACAGGATTGCTAATATAATTGCTTGATGTGATGTAACAGATTTGTATGCTAAAAAAAGGGTAGTTGTGATGCCAGGTGTGTCAACGTACCCATCTACATCAAGACTCAAGACAACATGTAAAAGTAAAACAAAGTTAAGAGAAGGATAGAAAGGCCGTAGGTATGATAGAAAGGATAAAATTCATGGATATATCTAACATTAAAGTAATGACAAAACATGACGAGGATAATATCTATTCATTTGGTTACAAGTCTTAAAAGATAAAGGCATAACGTTCGTTACTCAAAAGTACATTAAGTTACCATGTTACTGGTTTTGATTTGATATACTTTTTTTTTTCTTCATAATTGTGTTATTGATACAAAGTATCCGTCAACTTTACCAATGACTAATCTAGGATAACCATGATATACTTCGAGTAACGAGTGTTATGCTTTTATCTTACCAAGACATGTAACCAAATGATTTGATGTTATACTCATATTATAAGTATACATGAGTTCTATCCTTTCCATCATACCTTTGACCTTTCTATCTTTCTCTTAACTTTAACTTCCTTTTTTTCTCATGATAAATTTGCAAATATTCATTCTACATTTTTTCGTGAATTACCTCTCAGTGGAGTTGACAAATTTTATTTTCAGAGGACATGACAACTCCATTTATTTTTATGTTCTAATAAATTTTAGTTAGGTGTGTTAAGAGTCTTAATGTACCTAACAACAATTGGGATTAAACTATGAATTTACTCATGTATTGACAATGTAAAATAATTTTACACTATCAACCAATTAAGGGTTTGTTTGAAAATCCATTTGAATGCTATTAAACCGAAATTTTGCACATTCCAATGCACAAATGAAAAAGTAACAAGATTGTTGAATTGAGTTGAACGTAGGTTCAATTTATTTTTATGTTCTAATAAATTTTAGTTAGGTGTGTTAAGAGTTTTATCGCATCTAACAACAACAATTGGGATTAAACTATGAATTTATTCATGTATTGGTAGTGTAAAATAATTTTACATTATATATTAGGAAAAATTCAAGTCTCACATCAACTAGAAATAAGATAATTAAAGAGTATATAAGTGGAGAGCAGTCCTCACCTTACAAGTCGGTTTTGTAGGATTGAGTTACTAAGATTATCAACCAATTAAGGGGTGTTTGAAAATCCGTTTGAATGGTGTTCAATTGAAATTTTTCACATTACAATGCACAGATGAAAAAGTAACAAGATTGTTGAATTGAGTTGAAAGTGGGTTCAATTGGATGAAATTGAAAACCAAACACACTAAATATTACTGCTAGGATGAATTTTTTTTTACCTATTTATGATAAAAGTCAACAACTTAGCATGATTTATGATTGGATGGTAATGTAAAATTATTTTATACTATCAGTGCATCATCTATTTTCTCTAGTGGAACAAAGACAAAGACAAATTTGTTGCAAGTTGCAACTGGATTGTGTGAGAGCATGTTTTCTGATTTCAAATTCATGCAGATTGTTTACAATTTATTATGACACAAATTTGCCTCTTTTGGTCAGGTATGGTGTGATGTTGGTTACCCTAGATTGGTTCAGAGGCCACTAGAGATTGCTTTGACGGGGAAGATGAGTAAGCGTTGTGCATGCTTTGAAGATTCTCAGTTGGGCCAATCTGGTTTAGAGGTATATGAAGGGTGTGATTACCATGCTACCAGGTGCAAAGTTTAATCACGAATCAGACACCAATGGAAGAATATTTTTTTGAGGTATATGTATGTATGTGCATGTATATTAAAACCTTAATTTAGTGAAGCTAGTAATTATTTTTGAGACACCTTGTTACTTTTATTTCTTGGGAACGATGGTTGCTTTATGCTATATTTTTAATCCGGAATGATCACTCTTCTTTAACCACTAAATTTAAAATTTATGCTACTTCCCCGCACTTTGTAACCCAAAAAAAGTTGGAGTATGTGCGCCTATATTAAAATGGCTTGAATAACTTTAGTCTCCTAAAATAGGAGGTTTTTTATTTTTAGTCCTTTTTAAATTATTTTTTCAATTTCCATCCCTCCATACCCTCACTGAATGTGTTAAAAAATTAAAGTTGATTCCCTTCTCTGTTTTAATTAAGGGATTGAATTCATAATTTTGTTAGATCTCTAATTACCATGTTTATTTTAAGCCACAAATTCTACTTATGAAAAAACAAAATCATGTTTGAAGTACGGGTGTGTAGACTTACTTAAAAATTACCATATGGGAAACAAAATTGTACTCGAATTTATTCTCCTAGTATCCTAAACTGAAGGTCAATCAAGCAGTTAACACGATTATATTATAGCAATTAATACAATAAAATTGAGATTAATAATGACTTATTTGACACGCACATTCAACCTCCTAAGCCATATGGAATGAATAATCATATGGAATACATCATATCTCTTGGGGGGGTTATTCACTACAAAATGTCTTTGTACTTGCCTAACCCCCTCTTGCAATCTCAAGTATTTCTCCTCCGATATACCCAACAAAATTTCCTTAAGCTTGGGAATATCACTCACTAAAATCTGGACCGAGAAAGAATCCCAATTCAAAACATCACTAAAAGGAAGTACATATTGTTGTGATATTATGACAGGTACACATTGTGCATAGATTGCCTCAACAATCCTAGGACTTGCCACTTCAAACCCACTAGGACAAATGCAGTATCTGCTCTTCTTCATTGTCTCATGGTATGAAACTCCATCTGGGAGTTTCTGATAAACCAGCACATCCTTGTCTTTGCTCTCCCAATGCTGGAAAAGCACTGGTCTAATTCTGCCATGCATTTGTCCTGCAAAGAAAGCCAATATTGTTCGGTTCCTTGTGGGGTAGCCACCAATAAGATCTGTTGTGTCTCCTGTTACAAGGTTGATTTCAGGAAATGATGCATCCTTCTTGGGATTGAAATGCTCAGAGATGTTTGCATTACATAGCACCCGGATTGCAATGAAATACAATTCTTTGACATACCATGTTGATCTTGGTCCCTAGGCAATTAAAAAATATATCAGTTATATCATATCATATCATATTGAATGGTCATATAATCCTCTCGTTGAGAAATGTCATCGAAACACTTTGTAACACTCTTAATAACGGGATATTATTGGAAATCATAGATTTAGTGGACTTCAAATTTTATTTAATGAGTTTCTTTCTTGATTTAACAACATAATTCACCAAAATCCGTGATTTTCAACCAATAATAAATAGAATATTAGTAAGTATTAGAGAGAGTATCACTAGCATTTTTCTTCTCTCATTTATATGTATCAATTTGCACATTAATACTCTTTGAATCGAGAATTCATGTTTGAGAACTCTCTCCTTAAGCTAATTGCTTTGTCCAGATGGAGTGACACATGAAATAAATAGACCCAATTTTGTAGATGTGCCCACATATCTCATGTGTCTTCTATCTTGTATAGAACCATACATCAATTAAAGGTAAGAGAAATGTTAGTGATACTCTGCAAATACTCTCTTCACTAGTGATTGAAAATCACAAATTTCATTGAGTCTTACCACTAAATTAAGAGAAAAAAAAAAAACTCATTAAATAAGATGTGAGGACTCGCATTTTTTTTTTATTTGTAATAAATTTTAACCAATAATAAAAAGAGTGTCACTGACATTCATCATAAGAAAAAAATTATTGTCATAACCCAAATCCAAATATGAAGTATACAACAATGATAGGAAAATAAAAAGTTTAAATTGAAAATAAGTACCCAATCATGGCAAGAAAGCATGAAATGGTCAGCTCCATAGCTTCTATTCCAGTATTTATATTTGTGGGATATGATGCGCACATAATCACCAATAGTTCGGCCCAACACAGCTTTGTCACGAATAACTGGATGAAAGAGGTGCTCAAGGATCATGACAACACTAAAGGGAAGAAAGTAGACATGGGCTTCATCTGGATTCTGAGTCCGGAATAAGGTATTGATTTCCAATAAGTTGATAAAGATTCCTTCCATGGAATATATGTTCTTGCAGGGACCATAATGAAATAGAGGGGGCTCCCCCTCTTCATACACGAATATTCTGAACACCTTCTCCATTATTGTATAACTCCTATATATCATATAAAACCAACTCAAAAAACAAAAAAGTGACATGCAAAAAGCTGTACTATTTCAAAATTATATATTTTTAATCGTAGAAATTACATAAATGACAATAAAATTCAAACTTATGATATGCACTAACTCCAAAGTAATATTGTCATAGACCCTAAATTATTCTCTTCCTTCGACTGTCTAAATTAAAGAGAATGATTTTAATTTAAGGGAAAGTTTTATCTTTATAACATGTTTCTTTTACGTAAAACTACTTTGATTTTCATTATAAGCAACATAATAAAAATCAAGTAAATAATTAAGTTGGTTATTTTTAATTAATTCTATCATAAATTTAAATTTTATTTCAAATACATTCTCTATTTTAAGTGATTGTTATATTTAATGTTAATTGTAAGTAAATACATAAGAAATATAATTAACAAAAAATTGAAAGTACAAATAAAATTTACCTTTGAGTAACATTAAAAATTAATGATTGTTGCTTATAATTAGAATCATAAATATATATATATATATATATAATTATATCTTTTGCTTTTTAATTTAGAAATAGAAAATTAGGATCATGGAGAATATCATTAAAGTTTATTTTCAGGAAAAAAAAAAGGCTCTTTAATATTTATGTATTATTGTTTAGATCATCAAGTAGGATAAGACTTTTGTTGATGCATAAACGAATCGAACATATGGTTTTTTGACGTTAACACTTGTGTTAGGAGTAGACAGTATACTAATTGTTCAAGTTTAACGCAGCACATGCTAGAAAGTTTCTTTGCAACTTCCGACTCTACATGGAATGTTCAATAACTGGGAAATAAGAATGATTTACAAGCTTTTTATTTATTTATTTAATGTTTATTGTAAAGCTTGTATTTGTCTAGGGTCTTCACTGTGTGTTTCATTTATTAATATTTTTTGGTGCATGAGTCTTAAATGTGTATTTATACGTTTTACATTCATTTTTGTCTATACATATATGTGCTACATTTTTTAATGAACCAAAAAAATTCCTTCGACTGAATTTTCTCATTAAATTTAACCTACAAGAGGAGGTTCGAACTTTATAACTTACCAGAGGCGAGATTTTGTTTTCCTCCTTGAATTCTCTTATGTTATGATAAAATTATAAGAGAAAGAAATTAAAATGATTTAAATTTTTGAAAAATCTTCCTTAGAATATGTTTATTGCTTGATAAATATATATAATTCATACCTATGAAAAGCAGCAGCGTTTCTGTAAATGTCTCCTTGTGGAATATAATCATGAGTATCTTCTTGAGGCACCGTGGCTTTGGTTCTCAATAAGGCTTCTTTTATCAAGGATCTTGCTTTTGCAAGACTTGCTTCAACCTTCTCCAATTTTCTATCTCCTTGAATTGCTCTTTCTACTTGCAATCTATTAACAATGTTCAGTGGCTTCTGTCTTCCCCCATCCTACATGCAGAAACACCACCATAAAGCAAAAGATTTTATTGAAAAAAAGGACATTGATACATCATGCAAAGGAGAAAAAGAAGAGAAATCAATTGGATAAAAATGTTGATACTTTGAATGATGAAAATGTCAATTCTCTATGCCCCTTTTGAACCCTTTGATTAATCAATGCGAAAAGTGGTGAATCAAGACCAACATACACCACAAATGCACTGATAGCTAACAGAGCCAGACTCAAGTGTGTTTTGTTCAAGTGCCACATTCTCTCGAAACTCATCAAAACAAACATTGTTTCGTTGCCACATCTCTCACCCCATTCATTCTAGCTTTGACAAAGCTTTTGCGGTAAGAATTAATTTTGCGAATTCTCCAAAATTGTCCCTGTGGCTAGCAAAATACACGGTAATAAATACGCAAATCACTATTTAAATAGCCACTGAAACTTTTAGTTTTAAAAAATAAAAAAAAAATTGTGAATATATCTTTAAAAGTTACAATCATTTTAATCAAATTCCTAAAAGTAACTATTTATTATCATTGTAGTCTTTAAACATACATTAATATCATCATTTAAGTTGGTGTTTTATTTTTTAAATCTTGGATTAAAGTGAATAACATTTTACATTCCACTCTTTAAATTTTTATATTTTTTGGCACTAAAATGTCAGTGAGTTACACCTTCATATACTAGAATGATATTTTATCCAAAATAATTTGTAGATTAAAATTTCAAACTAAAAATAAAATAAAATTTGATTTTGTCCTGACCAAGTAAAATTTGGGCCCATCTGACTTTAATTTTTGATCAGGATTCAGATGGTGTAAGCATGCACTATAAATATAGGCCACCTTATCAATGCTTAGGCGCTTACACCAACACGTATAAGCTTATTCGTCGCATCTTATATATACATCAAAATGTAGTGGGTTAATTTTATTAAACCAAGGGTGATTGGAATTTGAAAGAAACTACGAAAATTTACTGTTTAAAAGTACAGTTAAAAATAAAACAAAATCTTAATCCTAAACCTTGCTCAAGATCTAATTTAAAAAAAAAAATCATTCAAATCCGTTTGGGTTAAAGATCTAATTTATCCTTAATTTGGGTTAATTTATAGTCTAATTTCAAAATGTTGAAATAATTAAAAGAGTTTAATGGGTATATTATTTTGGATTTATAGCCTAATTTTAAAATGTTCAAATAATTAAAAGTTTGATGATTATTTAGCGTAAAACTTTTTACATTATAAACCGATCACAAATTACTACTATGTATGATATTTTATGATTAATGAGTATTTTAATTAATTTTAAAAAATTAAATTTTCGTTTTAATCTCTAATGTTTAAAATTAATACTTTCAGCCAATGTATTTTGGTAATCTTTTTAAAATTAACAGTTTAAAATTACTACTATGTATGGTTTAAGTGCTTATAAATATGATATCTTGTTTTAAATGTAGCAAAAATATTTGTCAATTTTAGTGGTGATAAATTAAAATAGTATACATTAGATTTGAGTCGGGTTGGAATTATAGTGTGTAATTTTAATTGCAATATATGAATAAAAAAATTGTTAATATTTTTAGATTATTAACATTTTAGATATTTTGAACAATAAGGTTTAGGATTAAAATAAAATTTGAATTAAAATTAGACAGAATTATATCTGCATGGACTTAAAACATAATTAATAAAGAAAACTATATTTTAGTTTTAATCGTCACTTCCTCTCATAAATTCATAAAGATCATATTACTTATATAGAAATAGGATCAATGGTATTCTTGTAACCCCTCTCATTCTCCCTCAGCAGGTGAGCACACAAATTCTCATCATCATACCCTTAAAATCTATGGCACTCATTTTGAACCATGTGCCAAAACCTTGGACCAGCCATGAACAACAGCCACCTCATCAAAATTGCGCAAATCAAGATGACATGCAAGTTCTGGTGACGGTGGATGACATTGAAGTCTAGCAAGATATGTGTTTGGCTTTCAGTTCGCTTTGAATCTAAATTGTGCGTGGCATGTCTTCTATTAAATTGTAAAGAATTAAATATACTTTTAATATATAATATATCCTGCTTTTAATTTTTATAAGTTTATTTTTATTTCTTTTATCCTCTAATATTTTATAGACGGCTCCGTTAAAAGTGATGAAACGATCTAGTAGTAATCTATTTGATAATTTACATTACTGGTTAACCTAATTTTTAGAATTTTGATTTCCTATAATAATAATAATATTATTATGTGAATATAGTCTCTTATGTTGGGATTCATGGATGATGTTTATGGATGGTGAATCAAGTTCTGAGAATTTTGATGATAATAAATGATACAAGCTAATCAAGGACATGGACAAAAGAGAAGACATGAAGACCATGAAAAAATACAATATGTACTAGGAGTAGTTTATGTGTTCTTATGTGTTGAGTTGCCTTGTTGATCAAATTTATTGTTTATGCATGTGTGTGCTTTGTGCATGAGTTAATCTTAGTCCAAATTGTCTAAGAGTGAGTAGGATGATGTTTAAAAGTAACTTGAAAAGTTTTTGAAGTGTTAAATTGAATTTTTGAAAACTAACTCAAAATAATTAATTATTACTAACTATAATTGATTATTCCAGCAAGAGGTTGAGAGAACCTTGCTGTAGTAATCAATTATCTGCGAAATAATCGATTATTCTGTTCTTGAGTGGTTTCCAAAATTCATGAAGAACAAAATAATCGATTATCCTTAAAAATAATCAATTATCTGGGTTTGGAAAACTTTATAAATAGTTTTCACATTTTTGAAACAAGTACAAAGAATAGAAGAGAGTAAACAATTGATTTTGTGAAGTCTTTGTGATCTTCTTGGAATGTTTTTATGTGAAACCAAGAAGAAAAACATTTTGTGAAATGCTTTAAGAGGAATCATCATCATCACTACATTCTTGGAAAGAAGGATTAAGATTGGTTAAGAGTTCATAGTCTGATTTGTTCAACTTCCAAGTGAATTCGTTCCTTTAAACTTTTGTGTAATGTGTTAAGAAAATCTTGAGTAGGTGTCTCAACTGGTAAGGAATTCTTGTAGTGGGTTTCTACAAGAAGTGCTTTCTTGGGAGCAAGAAAGGGTCTATCTTGAGTGTTGAAGTGTGTGCATGTGTGGTATGCTTGTAAAACTTCTTCATTGGATAGTGGAACAAATCTTGATCAGGTTATGATTGAGGACCGGATGTAGATCACATGTGGAGTGGCTGAACCAGGATAAATCACTTTGCACTCTTCTCTCATCCTTATCTCTTGCATTGATCAATCTTTAATTAAATTTTAAAATGACTGGTTTTGATTAATTTGCTTGCATGATTAAAATGGTTTAAACTTGAACATAAGCATTGCATATAAATTGTTGTGTGAGCTGATTCAATAAAGATTAAGCAAGAACTCATATAGGAGTCATTCCCATTTACAAGAGGTTCAATAAACTTCATTGAAAATTTGTATTAGAAAAGTTTTAATTAAAATAAAGATCCTTAAACTTTGATAAAATTTTTAAGTGTCATTAAATCTAATTCACCCCCTCTTTAATTGAACCATTCTTTTCTATCATCTTAAAGCTAATCACGAGTTTCAATTTAATGATGATGAGTTAAGTTATATGTAAAGAATCCTAAATTTAAAGTTGATATTATTATTGTAATTTCGGTAGATTAAAAAGTCTCTAAATTTTTTATTTTGTGATTTTAGTCTTCTTATATATTATGATCATAATTTTGATATAATCAAGTTAAATGATGATGATGTAATAATAAATATATTATATAATAATATTTTGATTAGATTATATAAAGGTCCGTCTAATCATGTGATGTTGTTAAAGGAAAAGTTGAAAGATTTGGGATTAAACTTAATGTTTTAAAATTTAAACCGATTATCAAATCAGTGATAAATTAATTGAAGTATTATGTTAATGGTTTAGAAATCAAATTGATAAGTGACTGATTGAACTGTAACAACTAGTTTCTATTAAAATTTTTAGAAAATAGTTGTATATTTATATATATATAAGCTTTAATAAAAAAAACTCTAAAAAAATTGTATGATTAATATAAAACTAACAGAACAAATAAACTATAAATTAATTAAATTGCATAATTTAATATATAATTAAATATATAATTTTAAATTAAAAACTTATTATAATTATTAAAGTCAATTGATATTTTATATGTAAAAGTTAAATTACAGATATACCATATAATTAATTTAAGTCAAACTATATAACGGCTCGTCCCTGGAATATCTACCGTCAATAGCAGTGACTAATCTCCTCGCTACGTTAGAGGCACTTCAAAAGGTGGGATAACTGACTCTAAGATTTAACGGCTAAACCCTAAACCCTAAAAAAAAACTATATAACGGCTTGTAAAATTAGTTCAGTGATAACTTAGCTTATAAATGTTCAAATTAATCTGGCCTGGATTTTTGCATTCATTAAATGTTCTAATTTTTTTTGGTTAAATATCTCTTTTGGTCCCTTACAATATTTTTTTGTTTCAATTGAGTCCCACTTTAATTTTTTGTCTCAATTTGGTCCCTAATAACTTAAATTAGTGCAATTTGGGACTTCCTGATGGAATCATGCCTAGGAAGGCAAGGCCCAATGGGCCCGATGGGCTTGAAAGGCCCAAGTTGAGCTTCTCATGGGCCATACTTGGTTTTAGCTATTTTCTTATATCTTGTATATATCATGTTAGTATAGGTTTCCTATATTTTGGTCTTGTATTTTGGACCACATAGAGTAGCATTTTTGGGCCATAGGCCTATTGGGCCTAGTTTTGGGCTTCATGGGCCTTTGGGCTTTTGGTACCCAATATTGGGCTCATTTTGTTTCTTTTATTATTTCCTAATGTTTGTATTTCATTGACCATTGTATTTAGGTCATTAGATTAGGATTTAAGGAGGATTATTAGTTTAATTGAATTAGGCAAAACTAGGTTTAATTTAGCATGCATTTAAGTTGCATTTTGAGTCACATGGATGGCACCACCTTAGCTGAACATGTGTGACTCAAATTCAACCCTAAATTCACACTAAATCAAACCTAAATACACCTAGCATCAATGTGAACCTGGTTCATCTCCACCCTTGGAACTACTTCTCCAACCATCTAAAGACAAAAAGACATTTGACACTTGCTCATTGGCTTTTCTAGATCTAGTTGTCCCCTACATGTCTCCTAGAGCTTGTTTGTGATTGGTGGAACTAGATCCAAGTGTCTCTTGTCTCCTAGATGTCTAGCTTCCTCTACAAGCTACCTAAACTCTATATATAGGTATTTGGAACCATTTGTACATAGTTTTTGAGCATATATTTGAGTTGGCTAAAATTCTTTCTCTTAAAAGCTTAA